GAATATTTAAATTGTCAATAAATCAGATTTCTCTTAGGTTTGTTGGTGCAAATCTTTTTAACAGTTATCAACAAATCAGATTTTTTTCAGATTTGTTGATGCAAATATTTTTAACGGAATACTTAGATCAACAACAAATCAGATTTCTTTTCATGGTGCAAATATTTCTAACAGAATATTTAAATCAACCAATTGGATTTCTCTTAAATTTGCTGACACTGGTCTTTTCCGTATATGCACTTTATTTGTGCTGAATATCTGCCGATTATCTTTCTTCTGCCATCCTCTAATGATCAGGATGAAAAGAGAGGTCATTGCATTTGTTAGATTTATCTCAAATAGTCTGGTATGTTTTCCACAATGCCAGTATTTGAAATTATGATCAATACTAATTACACAGCTCTGAAAAGTTCCTGGAGTATGTGTAAGGCCAAAAGGATAGGTCAAAACAATGATAGGCACTCTACTGATGGACAATTTTCATAATAATTAATTACTTTGAGATCACCACCACCATTTGATATTGCTTTTAATGTAACATAGTCTATTTTATTCAATTGTTGTTCCATAAAAAAAACAAAAATCGGCCGCCACTAAAGTTCTTAAGTTAAAAGTAACTCTTAAAATATTGTATGTTCAAATGATAAATATATAAAGAATACATTTCTAGATGAATAAGTGATTGTTTCGTCTTCAAAATCATCTGTCCATTTAAAATATCTTAAATTTTATTGAACAAATATGCCAATCCATAGTTAAATCGTGTGCATTTATTAATAATTATAATACAATTATAATTATAATATAAGGCTATTTGATAATCCATAAAAGTATTGTTGAATTGCATATCAATTCATAAAGAAATCCAAGATAAACTTTGGGTTTAATAAATATTTTACTTTGACACATTTTTTTTAACAAAGTGTTATAAAATTCTTCTTGTAAAAAGAATTGATTAATTACTATTATATCCCCAAGGGTTCTTCCATAAAATTGGGATTGCAATAGCTTATGGTTGAAGATAACAAATAATACAAGAATGACTATTAGATAATGCAGTTGAATCTCGAAAGTGTTCAATAAGATGTATATAATGTACAAGATGGTCTTATAATGCTTTATTAACCATTGGACATGAAAATAAAGCATTGGAATTCTTTGAATATAAAATAATTTTATTTATGTTCAGTGTTAAAAAGTCAAAAAATGAAACCAGTAAAAAATATTTTTTAATAAAGGGAAAAAATTTTTTAAGGGGAAAGGGGCTCAGTGGTAAATTTATAGGAAAATAAGAAAATGTCAGGATCATCAATTTACATTGTTGTACAGGTTCTTTCTAATACATTGAGATGTACCAAATATGCATCTCTAGTAATGATTTGCTGAGTTGCTATAATTGTTAAATGTAAATTTTTTTTTTTTCCTAAAATAAAATACTATGATATTATTTAGGTTTTTGTTTTGTAAAATTAATAAGTATATAAATATTTCATTATTTCAACAATTAAGTATTTTATTAGATGTTACAGATGAACAATAAATTGTAATTTGTGTAGCTTATCGTGCATTATTGACGTCTCACAATAAGCATTTAATTTCTAGCGTGATCAGTTATTTATAAATATGGTAAATAATTTATTTATAAACAGAATGAATACAAATAAGACACGGAATTTTTATAAACAATAATAATTTATATAAGATACATAATTATTTGGAATAATTTTTCTCTAAAATTTGATTATGTATAGATTTTTCTAATATAAATTGTATTGTGTTAATATTTAATATAATCAAATATTCAAAATATTCAAAAGCAACATTTATTTATACTGTATGATTTAATAATGAAATAAATTTTGTAAAGACTGTAATGAATTTAAAAAAAATTTCTAATTTACAAAATAAAAATTATCTTAAACTTTATAGAAATTTTTATGACTATCACAAAATTTTTGTTATACTGTATATATATATAAAAAATATATTTATATGGATGGTTCCAAAAAATGTTATTATCTATATTTTCTACTAAAACCTGTTATTTTATTATTATTATTATACTTTTTTGTTATATAGTTGATATTGTCATAAATTTTTTCCAAAAAAAATTACTTTCAATTTTGGCATTTTCTGGACAAAATTTAAGTTTGTTTTGACTTTTCCATGGGACAAATGGGACAAATCTTGTTTGACTGATGTCGCTTTAACACTTTCCAGAATCAAATCCGATTTCTACTTTGACCTTTCCAGAACCAAATTTTGTTTTGCTAGCCTTTCCGGGACTAAATCTTGTTTGACTGCCGTCTCTCAGACCAAATTTTGGCTGGAATCTGCTTTTTGGACTATAAATAAATGTTGAATTTTCAACTCATTATTTAAGATATTTGCTTAAAAATATGAATTTAATTTAAAAATATCCATACCAATTTTTTTTTCATTGATTATTAATGAATTATACGTATAACAAGTGTATATAAAGTATATTGTATATCTTTTTAGAAAAAAATTTTAAAAAGTGAGAAGAAAATTGATAGTTAGAAAAAAAAAAATTTTTTGAGCTTATTTATATTTACATTCTACATATAAAGTCAAATACTTTTTGAATTTCTTTGTTTTGCTAATTAAATCTACAATAATATTATCTAAATGTATAACAAAAGGACAAAGGATATAAGAAATTCCTTGTTGAATATTTTGTAATAATAATAAATGTTATTAATAGATATGTCATGATTGTTGTATGTTAAACTTATTAATAATCAGAATTGAATCTTTATATTATTATCCTTTAACAATAATGAAATTGAGAATTTTTTAATGCAACTTAATTTATTAACATATTCAAGATACAAGAATTGTCTGCGTAATTTATACTTTTTATTACAAGATTAAGGTAGTCAACAATACGGCTAATATATTGTGGATATGACCGATATTTTTAATCTATTTTAACAATCATCCCTGATCGTCTAAATTATTTCAGGGGATTTACAGATGAAATTATGTAGTGTTTTAATATACGCGTAAAACATTAATATATTAAATGTATCATATTGATTTTTTAAAGAGTAATAGCAAAATTTTATTATTACTAAATTTTAAAGCTCGAAGTTTTGCTTAAAGTCCCAAATCTTACAATTTTACTACGCGTTAAAAACTTTTAATAAATGGTAAAATAGTTACTTATTATATTAAATATGAGATCCTTTTCTTATATCATAAGCCCATTAAAACTTCAAATCGGGCAACTATATATTATAAGTTTGAATGTGAGCCGCGTTTGATGTTGAATTTTATTATTTCTAGACAGTTTTTTTCTTTGGACGAAAACTAGTAGTATTCATAGTCGAAGCAGTTCATTTCTGTAAGGTTGTTATTTCCACCATCATATAAAAAAATTTTTAATTTTCTCTAATTAACTATCGGACTATAATGATCATATTGTTGAAACTGATTAAAGGATATTTAGGATATCTATAATTAAAAATTGTAATCATCCAATTTGATGATAAAATTCCTTAAAAAACGTCAACGATTCTCTCATTTTACGATATATACTTACAGCATTAGTTATGATTTATAATCAATATAATTATACATTTTAGTTTATATAATTAAAATTTTACTATAACTAATAACTTGTGTTAGAGTATGGGAAAATTGTCTTTTTATTGGTGTTAATTATAAACAAATAAATACAACAATAAAATAAAATAATTTTTTTTGAAGAAATAAAAAATTTTTTGGTTTAAGGCTTCAAAAGTCTTTTTTTTCAGTTTAAAAAAAAAAAACCGAAAAAAAAATTAAACTTTCAGTCTATAACGATAAAGAAAAATTTCAGTCTAAGAACCGAAAAAAGATATTCTTAAATAAATTTCTTGGTTTATACTTTATATGGAGTCGAAAAAAAAAATGATAAAAATATTAAAAAAAAAAAATAGTAAAAAAAAAGCCTTAACCGGATGGATAGCTTTGGCGAATGGCCAAAAAATCAAAAATGAAATATGATTGATAAGACAAATTAAACTTTTTTTCATTAAGACTTACACACAGCCAAGTGAGCCAATCAAATTATTCTAACTATAATAAATACGGAATAGATCAGGCGCAAACATATCATGCGTTTCCATGTTACAAAATTCAAATTACAACAAAATTACAACGAGACAGAATTTTTATATTTAATTGGAGTCGTGACAAACGTGACGATCGACAGTCAACTCATAAGCTCAATAAATTTATAAATTTTATAGTTGTGACGTTAGCCTCTTCTGGAATTTAAAAAAAGTAATATGCCAAGAGGAGTAAAAACATCTTTAGTAGCGCAACTTTTAATATTAAATGCAAAATCGTTTATTATACTAGTGGCTAAAATAACGATTATAAAAATAATATCAGAAAATTTTAATTTTTAAGAAATCAAAACAATGGAAAAATTATCACAATTAATTTATTAAATAAGCGTGGTATATATTCAAATGAAACTAGGCCAGGCAGCAATACTGAAAAAGATAACAATCGAGGTTGCATAGAATTGGCCAAAATGATTTATAGATCTTTTTTTTTTTTTTTTAATGCCAGCCAGAGTTTTGTGCCACCTTAAAATCATTCACTGACATTATGCATCTCCGGCCAGAATTAGGATACGTAGTAAATGTGTGCCGATCACTTGTTACCCTCTTTATGTATTGCTCGGGGTCCTAACACAACATTAGATTGGCAACATGCCCAGTTTTAGAATTCACTTTTGGATATGTGTAGCCGCACCTGCATCAATTGCAACACGTATGCATCAATGAGCTGCAGGCTACTGTGCATGCATCTAATTCATTATTTACAATGAAATAAAATATTCCCAGAATTCAAAAAAAANTCAAAAAAAAAAAAAAGAAATATCTTCTCCTATTCTCATAACTTTATTTATGGAATATTATCACTAATGTGTCTTTAAATATTAAGTACCTCAAAAAAAAAAAAAAAAAAAAAAAAAAAATTCCCAGAATTAATAACGGTAAAAAAAATTTTTTTCAACAAATAAATAAAATTTTACCATTATTACTTAAATGACAAAATGACATTGGTAAAAGAATGGATTGAAGAAAAGATAAAGAATGAGTATATTCGTTATTTTGAACACGATAAATTTAGTTATATCGAAGAAATTGATGAAGGATCTTTTGGTGAAGTGATAAAAGCAAAATTGGCTAATATAGGATTTGTCGCACTAAAAATTATTGTTAAAAAAAATTCAAAAGAGAAACTTAGAGATGTAAACAATGAGTTTGTCAAGGAGGTAGGAATCGTAATTTTATGTTGTTGGTAGAGTATTAATAGCTTGGTATATAAATATAAATTAAGTTTATTTTTATTTTTAGTTAAAACTCCTTCGTGAGATTGATCATCATCCAAACATCAATCGTATTCTGGGAATAACAAAAGGTTTAGTTTTTTTTTTTGGAATAATTCATTTATAAAGTTCAATATAACTTATTTATGTTCATAATTATTAGATTCTAAGTCTTATATTTTGGTTCTGGAATATGCCAATGAAGGAAATTTAAGAGATTATTTAGAAAATAATTTTGCTTCCTTGGAATGGAATTATAAAATTCAAATGGCGTTAGATATTACTAGTGGATTGAATTTTTTACACTCCAAAGAAATAATCCATAGAGACTTGGTAAGGCGTATTAATTTTGTTTTATGATTTTGTGATTTTGTCTCTGATGATAAATTTAATAAATAATGTCATTTATTTTTTAGCACTCAAAAAATATATTAGTGAATAATGGAAGATTATTGATTGCAGACTTTGGATTATCTAAAAAGTTGGCAGAAGTCTCAACTAATTCAATTGGTAATAAAAAGGGGATTACTCAATATATTGATCCACAATGTTTTAAGAATATAAAGTATAAGAAAGATAAGAAGTCCGATATCTATAGTTTAGGTGTTTTATTATGGGAAATTTCAAGTGGGCGTATTCCTTTTTTTGGCTGTACACTACTTGAATATCACATTAAAAATGGAGGTAGAGAAGATCCCATTGAAGGCACACCTCCAAAGTATGAAAAACTTTATCAAGAATGTTGGGATGACAAACCAGAATTAAGACCTGATATTGAAAAAGTACATGAAATTTTAGGTCAATTAAATACTGAGAATTCTTCTGATCTACAATCTTCACTTAACAAAAGTAATTCGGAAGGTGATGACTTATATATATCTGATTATCCAAGAGGTAAGTTTATATACTAATTAATTAATTACATGGTCTCAATACTAAATATTACCGAACTTAATTATTTTAATCAACTAGAAAAAGTTAAAAATCTTCTGATAATTGGCGGTACTTTGAGCGGTAAATCATTGTTATCCAACATATTGTGTGATATTGAAAACGGATGTACAAGTAACGAGACCAAAGATTTATCGAAAAAAGATTTCGAATGGAATGGAACGAAATATCACGTGATTGAAATTGTAATTTGGTCTATTGAAAAAGTTATTTATAATAAAATAACAGATTTGATGCCAGAAGGGATAAGCCAATTCTTATTTTTGGTTGATGAAAGCTTTACAACAAGAGAAGAAATAATGTTTGAGTTATTTAAAAAAATTATTTTCGAAACCGGTATTCTTCAATATGTTACTATTATTCAAAACAAGCGTGAAAGGGATCAAAAATATGTGTTTGAAAATAAAATAATTGCTGAAATAGTTAAGTCATGCAATGGTGTAGATAATTTCTCAATAGATATTGATAAAGAAGAAAACAACAATGATTATGAAGGACAAAATATTATTGATAGAAATGTAAAGAAAGAGATAAGAAATAAATTACTAAATTACTTGGAAGAAAATTTTCAGGAAAAATATTACAAATTAGAAAAATGGGATGATATATATAGTAAGATTGCTAATTACGCTAAATCAGATATGAGTTTTGTTGAAGTGGAAAAAGCTGATATCACAAGTAAGTTAATTTAATTAACTAAATTGATTAACATTAGAACTAATAATTCCTATGCTATTAATCAGATATGACTTCAGATATTTTCAAGAATTTATTTAACTATATTGACAGTGAATCAAAAAAAAGAGATCAACAATGGTTTAATGAAAAATATTCAGAAGCGGAAGTTATGGATATTACTGATAACAGACGCTTAAATCTTACTGATTCTTTAAAAATAGAAGGTTTTGAAAATTTAAAAAGAATTAGAATAAAGAAATTTAAATTAATTAGTTTGGAAATAAGAAATTGTTCTCAACTTAATGAGATTAACTTAGTAGAGCTTCCTATACTTACGAGTTTATCTGTAACTGGCTGTTCAAACCTAACCATGATAACTGAGTTAACCAGTTTGAAAATTAGTGATTGCTCTCAACTTAATAAGGTTTACTTTTCAAATCTTCCTAAAATTAAGAGTTTATCTGTAATTAACTGTTCAAAATTAACCAATTTTAATTGTTCATCAACTGAATTAGCTAGTTTGAAAATAAGTAATTGTCCTCAGGTTGATTTATCAAAACTTCCTAAAATTATTAGTTTAAATCTAATTTATTGTTCAAATCTAACCACACTTGATTTTTCATCAAATGAATTAACCAGTTTGAAAATAATTAATTGTTCTCAACTTAATAAGATTGACTTGTCAAGAATTTCTAGAATTATGAATTTATCTATTATTAGCTTTTCAACCCTAATTACATTTGATAATTTATCAACTGGCTTAACCAGTCTGAAAATAAGTGATCATAGCTTGTCAAAGTTCACCAAACTTGAAAGTTTATCTATAACTGAATGTACGCTTGCAACTAAGTTAACAAATTTGAAAATAATTGGTTATTCTCAACTTAATAAGGCTGACTCATCAAATCTTTCTAAAACTATGAGTTTATCTGTAATTTACTGTTCAAATATAACCATGCTTGATTGTTCATTAACTGAGTTAACTAGTTTGGAAATAAGTGATTTTTCTAATAATATTGACTTATCAAAACTCACCAAACTTAACAGTTTATCTTTAACTAAAATTTTAAATCTACTCACGTTTGATTTTTCATCAATTACATTAACCAGTTTGAAAATAAGTAATTGTTCTCAACTTAACAAGGTTAACTTGTCAAAATTTCCTAAACTTACAAGTTTATCTGTAACTAATTGTCAAAAATTAACGAACCTTGATTGTTCATCAACTGAGTTAATTAGATTAAAAATAAGTTGTTGTTCACAAATTTATAATATTGACTTGTCAAAGCTTTCCAAGCTTGAGGGTTTATCTGTAACTGAATGTTCAAATCTAACTACTCTTAATATTTCATCAATTGGATTAACTAGTTTGAAAATAAGTGATTGCTCCCAACTTGAAGGGATAGATTTGTCAGAATTTCCTAATCTTATGAATTTATCTGTAACTAATTGTCAAAATTTGCCCAATCTTGATTGTTCATCAATTAAGGCATTAGGTCAAAAACATGAATTTCCTAATTATTTTTTCACCAATAGTCCAGGAAGAAAAAATTTATTAATAATTGGCACCATTCATTCTGGTAAATCTGCATTAGCTAACGTAATATGTAAAACTAAGTTTTTTGAAGAAAATGGATGTAATTCAAAAGATTTTCAAGAATATGATTTTGTTTGGAATAATACAAATTATCATGTGGTTGATATTAGAGTTAATTTAATTGAAAATGAAATTTTATATAAGATAGGACAAGTAATATATTCAATGCCGGAAGGGATAAGCCAAATTTTATTTGTAGTTGACCATAGATTAACGGCAGAAGAAATAAAAAAACTTAGTGAAATTGAAGAAGAAATTTTAAAAATCGAAATTTGCAAAATTACTACTATTGTCAGAACTAAATTTGAAGACTTTAAAAGTAAAGATGAGTGCAAAAAAGATGAAGAAAATCTCTATAGTTTAAACAAAAAAATATTTATCAAAAATATATTTACTAATAAACCTCCAATCATTCATGTAGACAATCCATCAGCACATATTTATGTTTATGATAGTGATGATGATGCTACAGTAAATTACATTGGTAGAGGAAGAAGAGAAAAGTCAAGAACTATACTCCTAGAACATTTGAATAAAGTATGTTCAGAAAAATACAAATTAAATATGTGGGATAAGTTGTATGAGTCTAATATGTCAATAGATAATTTAGATAAACAGAAATTAATAAAATCATATTTAAAATTATATGATCCTGACGTTGTTAAAATTATCAAAAAACTAGTAAATGGGGAATAAACGTGTTAAGAGGATTTTACCAATGGTATGTTTGTTAAGTATGTGTTGATTATTTTTTATACAATATTGGGATTATTTATTTTATATAATATTGGGATTATTTTTTATACAATATTGGGTGGTTATTTTTTTGTTAACATACGGATTGTTTATATGACAAATATTAATAACCAATAAAATTTTAAGATTTCATATGAAGTTTTTTTGACTTATATAAGGGATAAAGTCTTTAAATAAATTTATCCTTTTAAGTTATTACAAAAATTTATATTTACAGAAAATGATGTGATATCAATAACTATGGCACAAAAAGTATATACATAAATTATTATTCGAATATACATTTTTGTATATTCAAATTACATGTAATGGTAACTTTTATATATTCACATATGACGTGTATAAAGTAGTTATTTCTGAATATACAATAGTTACTATTTGAATATTTCTATTCAAATATACAAAATCAACATAATAATCATTTTTATAAATCTACCAATTTTTATGGACAATCCAAAAACCATTTGTGATTTTATAAATTTGGATGACAATTTTTATGATGGTTTTTGTATATTCAAATGACATCTTTTGTATGTTTAACTAACAATACTTGTACATTCTATGACTGCTTTTGTATATTTAAATGTTTGTTATGTATAAATGTACAAAGTTATCATTTGAATATATAAAAATTGTTATTATGATACTGTATATCTATTGTAGCATCAGATTAACAGTATAGGATATTAATTTTACAATTAGTTAGAACATTTATTTTTATATTTATTTAGTTATTATATAGTTATATTATATTATTATAATTAGTTATATTTATAGTGGAATGGAAAACAAGAAGCATCGTTTGGATTAATGGCGTAAGAATTTTAGAAATTTTACCGACTATGATTTTATTAGAAATTTCGAACATAGTAGATGTATACGCTGTAAAAGAATGTTGACTCATATATGGATTTGTAGCGCAAAACCTGGTTACTATTGGCCAAATCATTAATCAAGCAAAAAAGAAAGTGAAGCTTCACATTGAAATTAATTGTGCTGCGAGGTTATTTGTTATTTTAAATGAGCGCTCAAAAGTTATTTTTAATGATCGTATATTTCATGACTCAATTATATTTGGGAATTAATGATGAAATGTTAAAGAAATGAAATATTTGGGAGGAAGTAAAGGTATTACAAAGCAAATGAATCGATCGAGTAAAGAAGATCTTACTTTGATTCTGTCATCTCGAATTAGCCCTATAAAAAAAGAAAATTCGGAATTTGTCCTGAAAAGTATGGAAAATGTCCAGAAATTTTCCGTGCGTCCGGAAAACATTTGGAAACGGTCACGTTTTGGAACACTTTCCGGACGCACAAATTCCAGACATTTTCTTGACACTCCAGAATTTGTCCAGAATTTGTCCAGAATCAAGCGTCCGGAAAATGTTCCAAAACATGACCGTTTCCGAATGTTTTCCGGACGCACGGAAAGTTTCTGGACATTTTCCATACTTTTCAGGACAAATTCCGAATTTTCTTTTTTTATAGGGTAGTCAACAACGATGGTTAGAATATAGTGAGGATCGGAATGAACGTATGAATTAGGGTATTTAGAGAAGCTAATTACTCTAGAAATTTTTCTTTATTTGATTTGTAGTCTAGTTAAATAGGTTATTTTAATAGATGGGTTACTTTATTGATTATTAGTATTGTAAGAAATTTGATACAAATCTAATTAATACTGTACAATATAGACGTAAAACATCTAAAGATAATTTTTTCGCCTAATAACTCCTTTAAGTTTTATTTATTATTTATTCACATGATTTTGTTATTTAATATTCATTTAGGATAGGAAGGGTTTGGGGCTTTTGGCGTTGGTAGGTCATGACGGTGATAACTTTTCATTTTGCTGGAGCTGAATCAGTGAATGTTATTCTTTGTACTTCGAAATTATTTACTTATAAACTGAGGTTTTACGAAAAAAAAATATGCCGAGACTGATGACGTCTTATAACTTTCTTGAATAATTATGTATGAAATTAATTTCAGAATTATTTCCATATATGAATTGGCTATGATGGCTTTTTTAGCTCAAAATTTGTACAATTTGGTTGTTTCTTACAATATAATATCTCCATATTTCATCTATTATACAAAACTTATGTTACATAAAATCAATTAATCACAATAAGATGGAATTTTCGTTTAGTAAAGTTTAACCGTACAAATTTGGGATAGTTTTACTATCAACTGTAACCATGTTAAGGATGAATTAATAAGCCGAGCCAGAAAAATAAGGATTGTATGCATAACATGCTATTAAATAAGCGATTAGCATAAAAATTAATTTATTTTTGAGTTCTTATTGCATCATCGAGGAATATGTGCCAAAAAAAAATATTACAGTAATGTGAAAAATAAATACAAAAAAGTTTGGAGTACGATTATCATATGACACAGTATGATATACATATGATGTCGACTACAACCCAAAAAAAAGAACTACCCCAAGAGCACTCCAAAAAATTCTGCGTAAATCATGTGATCATCACATATCACATGATTGAGATTAAAGAATTATGTAATTTATACAAAAAAAATTCTGATATTCAAAAAAATTAAAGTATTTTATTATGAAACTTTTAAAGAAAAACTTTATTACTCTATTACTTTTAAAAAAGAAAATATTTCATAAATTTATTAATTTACTGCCTATCTACAAAATAAATCACTTCTGTTTATTATGATCTTTCCAAG